AAAGGTAGACGCGGGCTGAGAGTGTCCGCACAAAATTAAAAGCCGTTTCTGCTGCTTTAATTTTAAAACTTTTCTTAGATTGAGAGGGAGAGTCGCCACCGGCGACTAGAATGAAAAAACTAGTCGCAAAATAGAAAATCAAGTTGCATTGGCGACCATTTTAGTCGCCATCTGGAGCCCTGACTTATAAAACAAGTAAAAATGAACAAGAATTCATTGACAAGACAAAACCATCCCTGTGAATGAGCTTCACTGAGTCAATAAGAGAAGGCAAACAAAGATTGTAATGAGACCCAATTTAAACTAAATGCCATGATGAGACGACAGCAACGAAAAGCAGAACAAAAAAGAAGAAATGAGTGATACCCCAGTGTTCCTGTAGCCGGGCGAGGTTGGAGAGCAGCCGCTGGTGGTAGTCTCTCTCCAACTGGAGAAACTGGACTGCCCATTCATCTGAGGCAGCCTGATTAAGGTGTAACGACTGGAAGTGACCTGGAGAAAAACCCATTACATTGTACTCTAAAAGAAGAAAGCAGAACAAATGAAAATGTAAATGTAACCCTCTCCGTGGCAGGAGACCAATTAAAACCCGTTCTAAATCTTCCTTAAGTCCGCAGGAGTAAATGCCAACATTCAGTGAACGATTGCAATTTGGCCAAAAAACAATTTGGGCAAGCTGAGGAATTCCTCTGAAACATCAAAAAATTGAGAAAAGGGTGATTCCAGTTAATCAGCCATTGTTTCAGTTCTCCCATTATTGCGATGAGTATAAAATGTTTGATTGCTACACAAAAACAAACGAAGGCCAACCTCAAAAAAAGCAGCACTGTGGGATCAATCTTCAATGTTTCCATACAAAATCGTTATTCCTGAGCAAGCTTATACTCTGAATGAATGTATGCTTACACCTATAAAATACATTTTTGACCGGTTTAATATACAGGGTCAAAGACAATTACATATATTTTTATTTCAGATGCACCCACCAGTTGATTCATGCACACACAAGCATAATAAGCACAATGAAAATTTACTGAAATGGTCCCAATGTGACTGAGGGCAGCCGGCTCACTCAAATCCTGCTTCTTTACTAACCAGAATTTCAGAGGCTCTTTGTTGTTTAACCTGCTGGTTTTTAAAAATAACAATTCAGTTCCTAAGGCAAGGCCTTTTAAAATACAGAAACGTTACCCGACACTTGTGTGTTTATAGATTTCTGCCTGTGCTTTTAGAGATGCATGACTCCAGCAATCACCTTATCGCTGCTGAGGTCCCGATCTGGTCTCTCTTTAAAGCAGAAGGTTGCCGTCAATCACTTTTATTATGAGTTATTGCAAGACATTAAAGAATACGCATATTCCTCCTCAGCTCTTGTTTTACTACTGTCCATTAACAGGATAAACATGTCTTATGCTGCAAAAAGGCGACTGAAGTATGACAGAAGTATTGATATAAAAGAAAGAAATTAATAAAAACATAAGAAGTACCAAAGAGAGTGAGTAGATTTCAAAAGAATGATAAGGATACAGTTTTCCTCAAGGAAGAAATCCTCTGCTATCTGGGGGGGGGGTGGAGAGTTAAAAATCAGAATAACATGACATTTGCTGGGTTTTTCATTATTAAAATTTTTTTTTGCCACAATAATTATGCAGAAAGTCAAACATGGCCCTCCAGCTTTGAAGGTTGAGCTGAGATAAATGTGAATATTTCAGTAACATGTTCACACTGCTGAAACGGGCAAAGGCAACCCCCCCCCCCATTGATTTCAATACCATTATTTTGCCCTGACTAAGGGATGAAAGGGTGACAATTAAGATTAAGTTATGGGTGCTTTTCTCTGACCAGATCATTAGTCACCAGACCCTCTGATGCCCCCCACCCCCATCTCTCTCTACCTATCACGTTGCCAGCTTTGGGTATGCCCTAGGTTGCCATCTGTGTCAAATATTACAAAATATATAGTAACAACCAAAGGCCGAACTAGACCCTATTGCTATTTTTTTCCCTTTAACCTAGAACCTTTCCGTCTAGGTGCTGAAGTGCAGCATGACTCAACAGGTCTTTAATCAGAGCCAAATCTCCTGACCACCCCGAACATGAGACTCGCCACAGCAGAGTGTGACAGTGGGAAACATGATCGGTGGCTGATCCATGCGGGGACAGAATACGGAGGTGGCTTAAGTGTTTGGCTGCGTGGGTGTGCATGTGTGAGACGGGGGGGTGGGGGGAGAGAAAGACAGCGAGAGAGAGAGAGAGAGCAAGGGAGGGAGAGAGAGCAAAGGAGAGAGAGAGAGAGAGAGAGAGAGGGAGAGAGAACGGGGGAGAGAGAGTGTATGTGTGTCAGGGTTAGATTTAATTGCTTCTAGCCTTTTCTTCAAAGATGATCAGTCTCAAACTCAAATGAATGATCCAAGCGCACAAAGGCCAGCGATTCATGGTCTGGGAGTTTTGGGTGTATAAAACCAGTTAGATGTGACTTCCCTGGCAACCTATAAGGAGTTTATGTTGTTGCTTGGTGACCTCAGGACAAAAACACGTTTCACCGATATAAACATCGCCACGTATGCGCTATGGATTTTTGCAAAACAACCAGCTACTTACATTGTACAAACCAGCACTCAAATTTGCAGAACAACACATTCCTTAGTATTTACATTTTTTTTTTTTTTTTATAAAGCATTTTTCCTTTTCTTTTTGTATCGTGTTTCACTCAGGCACAGAAAGGAAATGAAATCCATTTCAACTAGTTTCAAATCCCTGATTACAGGTTTTAAGACTAAGTATACAGCATTCGGCAAAAGTAATGAAATTTGTAACGTAAAACAAATAACACATTTATCCTCTAGGCTCCCTATATACATGTACAGATATATTGATCCTCAATTTAAGTTAATCTGAGACAGACGATCCTTACAAGACATTAAGCATGAAATAGCACAAACTGACATCCACACTGAGGTCTAGGATTGTTATGTGGAGAATCCTGTTTCTTATCGGACGTATCCATCTTTATCCCCGCAGTATCTATCCATTTGGTACTATGCTTTGGGCAATGTGAAGATGCAAGAGGCTTCTAACATACAGTGCCAGTCAAAAGTCTGGACACACCTGCTTTTTCTCCATTTGTCTCTATTTTAGATGTGTTTTTCACCTTATAGTCTGGGCACAAGTTGTCTACCTTGCTCTTACTCTTCAATCCGATTCATCCCAAAGCAGCTCGATAGGGTTTAGTAAATGGCCCCAGTTTTCTTGGTATTACAAACAGAGAGAGGTATGGGTCACACCTGGTGCAGGCACTGTGGAAGCAGGGTGTAATCCGAATGCTCCGTCAGGTTCTGCAGAAAGGCCACCGGGGAGGGGCTAGGCCCGGGTACGAGTGGTTCACCGCCATGGCTGCCGTCAGAGGTCTGGTCAAGGCAGCTGGACACACTGCCAACTGGACCCACAGGGGGGCACCTCTCTGAAGATGAGAGGTCAAAGGTTACCAAGGGAAACGTACAAAACACATTACAGAGGGCACGGCTAAATAAACACTAGAATCGATTTCTGAAACTTAATTAATGCCCTGGGGGGGATTCTGTCTCAGACGCAGGGTGGTAAACAGAGCGGAACAAACAACAGCCTCATCTATCCCCAGAAGCTGCGGTTGCCTCACAACCTGACCACACCTGAGAAGAGAGAGACCTGATCCCCTGTCCAATCACGACTGCCTAGACAACCTAGAAGTTCAATGAGCAACGTCAGGCAGGTAAACACTCCCTGGAGGCCCCTCCCTCCCCCAAGCTCACCCCACCCCACCCCGGGGACAGTGGCCAGCCAGTCAGCCCAAGCTTAAGAAGCCTCAATTCTCCACTGAGGCTGCTGGATCAACCACAGATCTGATTAGGCTGCAAATTAGGAGACATAAATGCACATTGCCTGCGATCGACCTCCAAGACAGACCAAGAACACTGTAGTGCAGCTCAGCCAAAAAACTCAATGTTTAATCTTGTATTCTATTTATTTAACAGATGCTTTTACCCAAAGTGGCATACAATAGAGAAGATTGGGTCAAACAGCTCAGGGGCCCAATGGCGAAATTACTCTGCTGATCCTGGGATTCGAACAGGCAACCTTGCGATCACGCGTATAACATCCTAACCCATTAGGCTACATGCCACTCCCATTTGCACATTGACATTACCTGATAAAGTGGAGATGTTAGTTTAAAATAATGTGCTGAGCATTTAGCCCAAAGACAAAGACGTTTACCATACTGCCATTTATATTTCATGGACCAGGAAGTCGTTACCCATTCTAATCAGTGCACACAGTCGTCGCTTGTTGACATTAGCTGTCCAGTTAAGTTCACTCTCCTGCTTTGCTGTTCACTCTGCTATGGAGCACCAGAGCAGACGTACATGGTAAAATGAGTCCGAAAATGAGCAACAGCAATACAAATTCTGCAGAATAAAACACCAAACTGTGACATTCTACAGCAAAGTGTCCCCTGTTGTAAATCTAAATGCTTGATTCTCAACTAAACCAATTAAGCAGTAGCAGAAGGTACAGAATTTCAATGACCAGCAAAAACAAACAAACAAACAAACAAAAATCAGTCTAGGAACATATGTCACATTCCAAAGTGTCCAACTGATTTTATTCCAGGGAAAAAACACAGCCAACAAAGAACCTATCGCTATGGGCAAAGGATGTGGGCACCATATTTAATAATAATAAAAAAAAAACTCCTAACAGCACAACAAATTTGATACTACAAAATATACCATACAAAATTATAATACTCACTGGTACTCATATGTTAAGATAAATAACATGACCTAGTAATCTTAAAGTGGCATGAAAGAAATCTGCTCATTTTCAAGGGCAAATGCCCTTTTAATAAGAAAACTTTTAAATTTTAAGTAATTGAATGGATCCAATATAGACATGCTCTAACAAGAATTACTTTCATAAACACCCTGGCAGAACATAGCAGCTCCTCTACAGGTTTCAGGTATAATGTTGATATAGAGATTAAAAAGCAATATGGAACTTTGCTAGGACTACATTTGGAAAAATTGCACTTAAATTTGAAATAAATTCCTTATCCAAAACAGTTCAGCCCAGAACATTTTAGACTTCAGTGCTTCCAAACTCGGTTCTCACGTTTGTGCTCCCTATCAGACATATTTTTGCTCCCTCACAGCTGACATCTATTTTCAGTTCTACAAAAATATATACTGTTGGCTGTTAAACTGTATTTTATTTATCATTTCATCTCCCAGAGCATATAAAAATTTTAATAAAACCATAATAATTGTATGATTAATGATGTCTGCACAAGCCAAGCTGTCCTCCTGAGGTTACAATATACGTTATCACACATTACTCCGTATAACATTTAGGGTGAAGCTTCATTTGCATGCAAGAAATAGACGTATTTTGCTAGTTTGACTATGCTGGATAACAGCTGGCGATGATGCCACACCGATTTAAAATCGCCAGTGATGTTTTGTTAGAAGTCTTCTACAGAATATTAAATGTGTCATACTGTACCAGTACTGGCAGTTTGGGTAGTGAGCCATGTGCTGTGTTTTGGTGAGTCTGGCGTTCCTGCCCGCGGCGTTCCTGCCCGGGACTCGCCATAGCTGTCCACCAGCCTGTCAGCCTGCCAGTCTTCTTCCTCGTTGTTATTCTCAGAGTCTTGCTGAGACGGCGTGCGGCCCGTCTGCAGGCTGCCGTCCATCTCGTCCTGCCCGTTCTCCGTTAGCCTGTTCTGATTTTCGTCGGAGAGGGACGACGTGGGGCAGGGGCCGCGGTCCAGGTTGTTCTGGAGATCCATGATGCCCCCCCATCCTTGCCTCACTCCCCTGGTGCTGTCTGGGTGCTCCTCCTCCATGAGGGAGCCCAACTGGTGACCATCAACCTACCAGTACACCTGAAAGAAAGACACAGACACACTGACACATGAAATACGGAGCCGGGAACGATTTCAAGAGCCGTCTATGCAGCAGGACTCAAACAGCTGGCACGCAAGAATATCAGATATGATTTTACTCACCTTCAAAGCGTCGGACGAGTGCTAAATTGTGGGCCCGAGGAATCTGACAGAAAGCTAACAGCAAGAGCATTTGAAAGGCCCCCTTTTTTGCATTTAATCTTCGAATTCGACATGACAAGGGCACGGAATAAGGCTCAGAGTCAGGCCCCGGGTCTCTTTATACTCATGGAAGACGTCACCATTCTGAGAGACAGGATTCTGCACAGCCGCGGAGGGAGCAGGCAGGTCCCTGCAGTGATGCAGTGATCCAGTAACTGCTTATCAGTCTGCTGGCCTGGTTTCCTACAAGAGTCACTGCGACCTTTGACCCGTTTAAATATTTTAGAACCATTAAGCAGAGAGCACTTTGTGCCTAGAGAGAAAATTATACACGTCTGCAAACTGCTAACAGCCTTAAAGGGCTTTTCATTTAAAAAAAAAGTTGAACTTTGATATTACATTTTTATTTTACTCTCACCTACCCTATGCTACTTTGTAAGGGTAAATAATTTCATGGCTCTGCACACCTGATTCCAAATTTGAAAAGATTACTATAGCAGGGGTTTACAATGAGGGAGACACCAAATGAAAATACACCAGCACTAGGCACGCTGCACCACTAATGCATGACCTTATAAGTAAGTAAAAACTAAGCACCCTTTTTTGGGGGGTGGGGTGGCTTGAATATTGTTCAAGTGGGGAGTGGGGCTTCATGATTCCATACAAGACCTCTCTCACCTTTTTAAACAACCTTTTTAGGAAGTTAATTTCAAAACTGCCAAGAAAGACGACCTTGAAATTTATGTCGTCGCCGGGTGACAGGTCATGGTGAGCCACGATATTACACCCTTTACTTACACCTCTGGATTATCTCCTCCAGGAGGATAAATCATGCTACAAGGTCATTCCTTGTGGACAACCAGTGGATGACCAGGTACTGTCCCAGGGTGGACATAATGGTTAAAAAAAAAGTTTCACTGTAATACACAGAGGCATGACATGCACAATATGTTCTATATGAGCAAGCAATACAAGGAACAATTCCATAGAGCTGCGTTTCCCAACCAGTCCTTGGGGACCCACAGAGAGTCCGTGTTTTTGCTCCTCCCCAGCTTCTGGCAGCAGAAATGTGGACTGTCTGTGGGTCCCCAAGAACTGGGTTGGGAAACACTGCCATAGATCTGCCATAGAGCCTCAGGAACGTTCACACATCCATTCAATCATTCACTGTCCATAGCCGCTTGTCCTATGCAGCGTCGTGGGGGGCCAAAGCCTACCCTGCAGGGTATGGGCACAAGGCAGGGAACAACCCAGGACGGACCGCTACCCTGTCACCGGGCACCACACCACTCAGACACACACTTAGGACTGCATTTTTCTTACTAAGACAATGGTTCTGCTATCAGTTACTGACCAAACAACAAAATTAATTCTGAAAATTAATTCCAAAATTAAACTATTATTTACTTAGCTGGACCACATAAAAAATGTAAATATACTGCCAGTTATACTATTAGTGCATTTAAATAAAAACAGCCAGCATACTGTGACACATTATGTAATAAAACATTATTAGGTGTTGGCCACTGGATTTCTTCATGTGAAAGGCAGATTTGGCAGTTACAATGTTCTTGGTGGTGCGTCCATTAAGTGCCAACAGCCTCTTCCAGCACAGATCTTTCTAACCAGGATAATGCAAAACGTCAGAAGTGATTCCCGTATAGCTGATCCGGCTGCCTTATCATAGGCATGACATGTAAAAACAGGGCCTTCGTCCAGCTCGGCCAATAGGAGACTCTCCAAAATGTCAGCCTGACATGAATCCACAAGGATGACTCTCCCAACAGCTGGCTGCCGCGCTTCCAGTAGCTGTTTCTGCCCAACTGCACACTCAGAAAAGATGAAATGGGTACAAAAAAAAGCAACATCCATCACTGAAGTGTTCATATGGATTTTTAGAAGTCACATGTGATAAATACCCCAATTTTTAAACTAAAAAGAGGCTCATTCTGACAGTCTGAAGGAAATTCACACATTTCAAAACAGAGGGACATCATATTAAGTAAAAACAAAAAATAGTGTTCACAAATGTTTGTAGGCTATATGGACATTTGGTGGGGGGTGGGGGGGGGGGGGCAGGGTGCCTGAATTCCCCCCCATTTGAGCAGCTGCCCCTCAAGAAGTCAGTGCACGACACTCTGGAAATCATCATTTGGGGACAGTTTACAGTGATGGTCTGCTTGAAACCTAGAGTGCTGACAGCTCTTCAGGATTATGCTGCACAAAAGAACTTAAGTCAGGTAAAAATGCAGATCTTGCACCCGATTTTCACAAAAGAAAAAAAAAAAAAACCCTTTCAGTTCAGCTTTGATGACAAGTTCTTCTCTTCCAGGAGGAATTTCAGTTCACAAATGATAAATGATTAGTGATAAATGATAAATGATTAGTGATAAATGATAAATGATTAGTGATAAATGATCAGTGACAGTTCTTCTAAAGCGCTGTGGGAAACATCTTTTGCCAAAGAGAAAAGATAAAAATGCAAAAAAAAATTATTTTTCATTAAACTCACAAAAAATATGGCAAATTAGCAACAATGAAATGGATCACAGTTTTTGATACCAGTGTTATACCTTGTGCAATTTTTGTGACATGTGATATTCTATAAGCATGTGCCTTAATAATAGTGAAAATTTCACTTTAAGTCATTAACAACGTTCCAACCTAAACAGCACATGCACCTAGTGATTAATCTGTTACACACAGGTTTTGTGCCTAGAGGTTCAGACAAGCACATGATATGAAGATGAAGTCACGTGAGGTACAGAGTTCTTAAAATAACCAAAGTCACTCAACAGCTTTGCTGACATGTAATTCTCTTATTTTCCACTCTGACCTTTCACGCACACACTTATATATACATACGTACGTATATATATGCACATATACATATATACACATATATTATATAATAATGTTATATAACATTATATAATGTTAGATCTGTCTTCATGCTACATGCTGTTCTCCTTCCAGTTGCCATATCAACTTGCAACATTGTTGGCAAATATTCATGTCAAGCTCTTTGAGACGATCCAAGTTGGGAAGGTCAGACGCAGAGAGGAAGTGTTTGTTGAATAACTACACCGAACGAGCTGCAATGCACATGCTCTCCCCCCATCACGAATAACTACACCGAACGAGCTGCGCGCCAAAATTAGGTCAACGTCGAAAGGATTCAAATTAAAGCAGCGGAAAAAATATATAATATAATATATAAAATATAATATATAAAAATATATAAGGTTGCCTTTGTCATATTGTTAATGGCGCTACTTACTGATGCTTAATAGGAGCCACGGACAAGCAAGGGTCTATGGCTGTGCAAGGGAGATAGGACACATTGAACAATAAAGAAAGGACAGCTTATTATGATTGAAAAAACAAAGAGCACTGTTCAAAGAATTACATTTACACACACACACACACACACACACACCTGCTCATAAATCCTCTGGTTTGCAGAACAATGACAGACAAGGATGGCGTCCACCCTACCACCCTCTACTTGCTCAATGGCAGAGTGAACAAGGTTGCACTACTCAAATGAAGATGTTAGCTCAAAATGCGTCCAGTTTCATATTTCAGACAGCAGCCTTACACAGAAACACCCCACACAAAAAAATCATGGTTATAAATCTATACACACCTCCACAAGATATGGTTTTGAGAACTTGAATAATATTCTAAATCAACGCACCCTCATTTGCTCCTAATGTAAAGTATCAAACCATAAATACATTTCTAGGAATCTTACCTTGCCTTATTTTCCTTAATAATCAGAGGTTATACTTTCAGATGAGACACTTGGATTAGAAAGTCTGTTCATTTAAATATCACAATTTCCTGAGAAAGATGTTTAGATATTTTAAACTGTTGTTGGCTTTCCAAACACTATAGCTATAAAACTTGACTGCCTTTTCTGTACATTTCCTTTCTTCTCATAATAGTCATTTAGGCACAAAGCCATTAGCTGGACACACCTCGTGTTGAAAGCGCCCAATTTTAGGATTTTGCACTAAAATCGGCACGCACCTCAAATGAGTGGGAACCTCACATTTCCAACAACAAATAGAGCAGGCAACCGTGACAGAGCAATGTGACAATGGTCCCAGCGTTTGTGAAAGGTATGTGCCGGTTCTTTTACCTGCCTGTATAAACATTTCCCAAGTCTGTTACCTATCAGACAACAAAGATTAATACCGAAAGCAAGAGTAAATCTTTAACTTCGGGGTTGACTAAAATTTGACGTTGCTGTGACTGCACGCATCATTTCATGTTGACCTAAGTTATTAGGTCCAAAAGTAAAGTTTAACCTTCATTAACATCCCAAATATCTCAAATCTGAAAATAACCAGAATCCTAAATCCGACATGCGAAATTAGAAACGACTGAATGGAAAACCATCAATACTGCCACCACCGGACCACTGATACAGAGACTGGTTTTACCTGATTAATGTGCAGCCGGCGCGCGGGACCCTAACAAATACTTTCTATCTAACGATCCGCATTATCGTCGCGCGGAGGATCAGAAACCTATAAACATTTAATTATTATGTGATTGGTAGTTAACAAAACGCCACGAAAACGGAAAATACCACCGGCCTCTCCTGCGGCACTTAAAAAGTAATAAAACGCCTTAAGGCGCAGAGAAGAGGTCGGCGTGTCATATTTACGTTACGGAATCTCCCCGTAGTCAGCGAAAGGGAACGTGGCTTTTTAAATAACAAACCACATAAATAATGAAAGCGTGTCCGAAATGTACATCCTCAAATCATAACATATACATACAAATGACGGGAAGCATAAAACAATCCAGTGCAACCGGGAAAGCAATCCTCTGCATTACGGCGACATCATAAAAGCTGGAGGTTTGGGACCGTGGCGTGTTTTGCGGTCCCGGGGCGGCAGCTGCGGACCGCCAAGGTTTTCTTTACCGTCCTTCGACAGGGCAGCCACCGCTCCGGCACCTTGCTAGCATTACTAGCCGATCAGATCCCGCTGCCCGCGCCGGGGCCACGTAGCTTCAGTCGCTAAACGACAGACAGCGAAAGCTGAACCAAAAGCCCCCCGTTATAACGTAACGCTCGATTACGGGAGTCCGGGGGCGCAAACACCCTCAATGAAATAACAGCTAATACCCCATAACTAGCACGAAATAGGATTATTTGTTGACAGATTACCCCTTTTGTTAATTCTCCGTAAACAGCGATTGATCATATATTTGACCGAGATAAGATACCTTGTATCATTTACATTAAATGCACGGAGGATTAGATGCTGTTTGCAGTAAGTATGTTGCCAAAAGCGCCGTCGCCCAGCGACAGCTTCTGGTCGCGGGCTGACATTTTCTCCGAAGCGGTAACACCTACCTCGCTTAGTGGCTCATGCAGCGTGTAAAGGCGCTCAGGCTCGGCCGTAGCATCACGCTAATCGCCGCATCAGCCGGCCCCGGCCACCGATCCCGGCCGCATCGCCCCCAGCATCAGGCTGACATCCAGGTCTGCGCGCCGCGGTCAGGTCGCTTCCTGAGATCTATCCGGGCATCTAGGAGGACGAGCACGGCTACGGAGCCACTTCTGTGCGGGAGAAGGGGGCCACCTTCCGGCGCAGTGCCGCCTTTCCTCTCCTGATGTCGGTGCGGAGAAAATACGTGGGGCAGTCTGCTGTCCGTCAGCTTTTTGCGTAGAATTACTTTATTTTCGAAGCAGTAGTTTATGCTTTTGAAATGGTTTATTTTGACCAACAGTAGTAAATACAGGGTTGCCCAATTTGGTCAGCTTGTTGGAGTAAGATTTTCAATTCGAGACACGTCTATACACTTATATACATGTATGCAGGCGCGCAGTTAGCACCAGGGACGGATGGGACGGATCTCCTTCAGATTCAGTGACCTCGATCCGTCCCCTCCACTTACAGGACAAAAAAACAGCATCTGCCGTCTTTGCACAAGGAAAACATATCCTTGGTCCCCCCCCCAATTCAAAAATCCTATCTGCGCCACTGCATGTATGTAACCGTTTTACCTTGTTAATAGTCTGTAGGCTTTTAAAACCAATCCAACGCTTTTAATGTAGCTAATTTTAGTTTTATAATGGAGTAATATAGATTTGCTGTAAGATTTCTGTAAATAAGTTCGAAATACTTGTTACTTCCTAAAAAATGTTGCTCTAAATATAATTTCAACAAATAATTAGGTATTACACTAGGTTGCATTTTTTGTTTTATTAAAAAGCGGAGTGGATATGTCGTTTAATAGCGACCGCATTCACCTTTACATTTTATCGCATACATTTTGTTTATAGCAATTTTACATCGGTGAATAGTTTATATCAGGTGCGAATCTGAAGAAATACGGGACCCCCATCTCTGGGGGACTGATGTCCCACTAAATAGGGTCTAGAACACACGTAAGCTACGAATAATCACAAAATATCGCACATTTCATTTCGACATTTATCGCTGAAGACTTTGTACTATTAAGAACGTCGGCCACAATTACCTGTTCTGAAACTGATGCAACAGGTTTTATCATTAGTTTTTTTCGTAATATAAATACACACTGTATCCGCAAATAAGCTTCGACTTAGTCTTATCCCTAAAAGTACACTCTGCATCTCAGTGGTTAACATTAACACAATGAAACACAATGAAAAACAAATAGTGGTGGCACAGTCCAAACTGTGCCGTGACGAGATTTAATTATTTATTACAAATAATTTCTTTAAATGTCCATATCGAGGGAGACTCATATTATTGCATATTACCAGAGGACAAGCTTCCGAATGGTGAACAAAATTGAAGTGGTATAACATTATCGACAGAATCCTGATGAAATACTAAAACTGCTGATACATTACAGAACATCTTGTAACTTTTCTTTGACTATAATTCAGTAACTATTATATTACACAAAGAACCTGTTATAAGGTAAACAGCATCATTTCATTCCGATGGCTTATTATCAAGCAGCATGATTTCCAAATACACTATGTACATATCCATTATATATAAAAATTGTAATTAAACATAGGGCATCACATAAGGGGACAGAACTAGCCGTATTTCAATGTTTGTTAAGGAATTCTGTAGAAAGTTTACAGTAGATCGACAACTGTTTGCTTATTTTATTTCAAGTGCTGGACAGTGAAGACCTTGCCTGTGAAGGAGAGCTTCATGATTTGTAATGTACAGGCAGCACTGACCTACTGTAATGTACAGGCAGCACTGACCTACTGTAATGTACAGGCAGCACTGACCTACTGNTGTAATGTACAGGCAGCACTGACCTACTGTAATGTACAGGCAGCACTGACCTACTGTAATGTACAGGCAGCACTGACCTACTGCATCCAGGAGTCACCCTCTGCTTTTAGGATACCCTTGATCTTGAGAGGAGCTCACAAAGGTTTCACCCCTTAAAACAATTTACAGGACGACTGAGGTCTGAGTGTTTAAGGTCTCATCGTACAGCCAGCTCTGGGTGAATTCCTTGGACTGGTGCAGACTTTCAAACAGGATTTTGTACTCTTCTGGGAAAACGTGTCCTGTCCGGATGTCCTCTAGTAGACCGAGCTCATTAAGCACCTTTGCCCCGCTTTCAGGAGACCATGAGCTTCAAGAACAGAGTGTAAAGAAGGAATGAGAACCTGCTTAATGCATGAAACATCTGCTAAATGCATTTTAGAAATTTTGATTTTTATAACAGATGCTTTTGTCCAAAGTAATGTGCAAGTCAAACACATCAAAAGCAAATAGCTGTCAAGGAACCATCATTTAGCGCAGTGAAAATGTATTTGCCTGATTTCCTGTATTGCATATTTTTTGGACGATGGTTTCAGAGTTTTTTTTTTAAGAAATGTAATATTGATATCAGTCTAACATCAGAAAATCTACACAAATAAACACCACCGTGAGAACTTGGTGGAAACCAAATCTAAATGAATAATACAATGACAACATTCAGTGCCAAGTGAACCTGCGTCAACATGATCACTGCTGCTTGCTGAGAGTCAGTGGGAAAATGAGGTTAGTGCGAAAAGGGTCTAACACAATTCTTCATGGAATTAGCCTGATGGCAGAAGGTATGATCCAGACACATCGCTAGGACCTTAAGACATCGGGACATAGCACCGGTTCTCAAACATGGGTGTTAAAACATCTGAGCTGAACAAATCATTTGGGGCTTAAATCCCTCTATGCTCCAGCCTAGTGATGCCTCTGTTATGATCTAAGTGATCCAACATTAAAGCGAAGCACCCTGAATCCAACAAGATCACTTAGGACGTTTTGGGTCTCTAATCTAAAAAAAATAAAAGATCTGTGTTGTGGTTCTTGCATTATAATGAAAAGTGATAAATTGCCTTCGGTTATATGACAGGATGCTACTTGCTTTCTAATGGGATATACGCTGTATACTCACTTTAACTGGTCAATGAGCAGGGCTTTCTTCTTAGTTAAGCACTGCTTGACCATCATGATTAGGGTCGCCCCGTTGGCAGGGGTAAGATTCCCGGAAAAAAGGCTTGGGCGGGGGGTCAGCCTTACCAGGCACAGGTGGTCATTCGGGAGCTGGTTCGAGGGACAACAGCACACAGTAAAAACATCTTTATGGTAAAAAGATATTCTGAGGAACAAATGGCAATGCAGTGAAATCGAGACGAGATACGTGCGCATGCAATTATCAAAGTTTCAATGCAAATCTGTGAAATAGCCAAGAAAAAGAATCTCTTGCCTTCGTTTTTTGGGCTGTCAAAGAACTACGTTTTGCTGAGGTCACAAAAGTCGTCCATGGTTCCTAAAAATGTAGAAAATTAAAACATGGATGCTGTTCAACCGAATAGTTACTTCAGCATTAGTTCAAATACAAGAACTCGTGGCCATAGGTGGAAATTAGCGGGGGAACATTTCAAACTGGATTTAAGGAAGCACTTCTTTACACAGCGTGTAGTCAGAGTATGGAATAGTCTTCCTGATAACGTAGTGCAAGCTGAATCCTTGGGTTCCTTTAAATCAGAGCTAGATAAGATTTTAACAACTCTGAGCTATTAGTTAAGTTCTCCCCAAGTGAGCTCGATGGGCCGAATGGCCTCCTCTCGTTTGTATAGTTCTTATGTTCTTATTCTTTAAATGTCACATTCTCTTTCCTGTTCATTTCATAAATCAAAGAGCAGTGTAAACATACTTTGGTGATTCAGTGTGTGATTGTTCACTCCCTGTGCATAACTGCCGGTGCAGAATGAGACCTCTCACCTTGCGGAGGAGCTCGATGTCACAGGCCATCTGCCACAGCACCCCAAGGGGCTGGTACTTCTTCAGATCCCCTGGAGAAGCAACCAGTTTCTACAATGGACATGCAAGAAAGCCACAAATATACCAACAAGTAAGAAAAATTAAGATTCTATTCTAAGGTTATAGGTTTAGTTTCGTCATTGTTAGGGACCAAATCAGCCCCCCCCACCCCCCACCCCCACCCCGTAAGCAGTTGGACTGTAATCAGGGCTCAGCAACTAGTTTTAAGGTTACTTCAAGGAATAATGTCAGGTTACCAAATACTCCTTCTCGCTCATGAAGATGACCAATTGCACACGGCCATAGCGGAAAACTGACGTGCGCTCAAAAAGGGAATAGACCAGCTTCCACAAAATGCTCCTCTCATTCCGCTGGGGGAAGATTCCCATCACCTTCACTGGAACATCTGGACACAGAGACATAAATAATGCATTTCAAGAGGCTACGAACAGACCTCACAGAATCCATTAAATTTGTTCAATTTTGTTGTGGTTAATTCCAATGAGTTAGATTTTTCATTCAAAATGTGTTCTAATGGAAACATTCTACATAATTTAATTTAACTAAGATTAACATAATTTCCATATTCTTGCAGATAACAGCATCATACAGCCTAATAGGGAACAAAAATTTTACTTCTGTGTTTACTGTACTTCGGAGTTATCAACTTCTCTAATCTCTTCTCCCTATTTAGTGTAGGAGCCTTTTTAAGATAAACAAGAATAGAAACATCTTTCTAACAGCAGCAAAAAACCTTCCAGTTTAACACATGTATTGATAGAAAGAAAATCTCCTTTCAACCTTGTCCTTTTCTCTGAAGGTCTGTAATAATACATGCCAATTTGATTTGTTACTAATATAACATAAAGGCATCACTTGCCAGAAGGTGAGTAATGTTTACTGAATGCCTGTGAGACTAACCAGCAGTCCATGGAACTTCAGAGATGCCCAGGTCATTGAAGAGCTTGTCAGAGTACATGGACGGGGGCTTCATGGTGCCCTGTCCGAGGGGGTCCAGCTTGAAGAAGTCACAGTGCACCACCTCCAGCTGCCCATCTAGTCTGCTCTCCAAAGCCTAAAACCAAAAGCGGAGCACAGTACTGTAAGACACAGTGTCACAAAGATAACAGCAGGCATCCAGGTCTCAGGGCATCTGTTGGATCCAAACAACCAAATATACGTAACTGACTAAGAAAAGCTGCGTGAGATGACAGACATGCTCACTTGCAGATCTTTAAGGAAGCTCTTATCACTCTCCAGACCAATGACCCTCTGTGCCCCAGAATTCAGCAGAGCCCGTGTCAGTACCCCTGGGCCTGGACACAAACATCAACGTCAAAGTATTAAGGTGTTAAAAAACAAAAACAATAAAAAAGGCTGCAGTCATCTGAAGCAGGAATGAAGAAGTATTTTTGTTTTCTTTAAAATAAAGCCAACAAATAGAAGTAGTTGCGCTAGAATTAATAGACACAAAAAATAAATAAAATTCAAAAAAACTAAATATGTAACAACAAAGTGCCTAATTACTTGATATTTAAAAACATACAACACACCAGGATTGCACTCGAAGATGGCAGCGTTCCTCTCTGTCAGGTCTCCTTTCAGGTGATCTGCCACCAACTGGGCAAAATCCGGATCCACAATGAAGTGTCGCAGGTTTTTGCACGCCAGTGCCTTACGTGTGTTTTCCTCTACCTCATCCGGGTCGAGGAAGTCGTATCTAGACATGGGGCGGCACTGGCTTTTCAGCGACCCAGCTGCAGCAGACAGGTTCCTCTGCGAGAGCCCTGGAGCTGCTGAGATGAGCTCCGCTTTACTCTGCTGAGACTGAGTCTGCCCAGCGCCTCCACAGGCCGAGTCCAAGTAGTAAGTTCTTTTGTGGGCATGAGTGACGATTCGTATACATGCAGACGGCCTGAGATCATGAATAGTCTGCAAGCAGCCAATGGTGCTCCGTATTCCCTTCACCAGTAGCCTGGGGCCATGAGATGACATTGTTGGGAAGAGCTATAACTGCAACAGAAAAAGCAATAATGACCAAAAGCACAAGGCAGAAGATGACAGTTGCACAAGTAATGTAAAAATGACCAAAATATCGTGATGAGGCAAATATGACGGTCTATCACAGTAACTAACGTTTTGAGTTTTATTTTGCACTGTATTAAAGTAATATTAGTAACCATGTTAAAAAAAAACGAACGTCTAGTTTAACCACACACACATAACGAATTTTGTGCACAGTTCAATCAGTAAACTACACGTGACCAGTGTTTGTAACTGGTTGGAAATGGGCATAAAGCATTTTGTCATATATACACAAATATTGGAAAGGCGTGCTTTGTGAGCTAAATCCCTCTTGAATCTTCAATCTAAATATAGTAGCTAAATGCTTAGACTGCATATTACGTAATACACTTTAGTTCCTTGCTTAAAAATAAGTGCGAACATTTTCCGCAATATTAAAACGCCAGAAACACTGCATTGGAAAACTACAAAATCAAATACATGCCGTGCCGTATACAGCTTATATATTTGCGTATTGCGATAATGCAGCTATATCATGGAAACCGGTGCTGTACCTTTAAAAACTCATATAGCTACCGACGATATCACTACATATTCCGCCGTTTACATAAAAGAATAGTGGTAAATTATATAGAAAATGCAACTCTGAACTGGTGGGTAGCGTGGCTGGCCGTATAAAGCCGCATGGTCGTTTAGTGAAGCGTTTCGCAACAGCTAAATTTACTTAAGAAGCCCTCAAAACCATGACAAAATATAATGACTTATCTGTACCGTCGGGATGGTAATATCCGTTGAAATCCTGTTGCTATTGTTTAACCTAGGACATCATTCTGTCCTTTACTTGTGTACATGACATTGAAACAGCAGTTCGATCGCCACTTGTTTCAACCCCAGCGGTGCCATGAGTCGTGAACGTCACCCTCATGCGCCAGAGCAAAGATCTCTGGGTAATGTAGAGCCGGTAACATTTAAGAAGCACTGAAACTACTGAATACAGCTGCGTGCCTGCACAAATACGTAATGCAATAAACATAGGCATTCACAAAAATTGGCTTTGAGAAATCGCTTTGTCTTCATCAAACCAGCATAATGGAAGACATATCAGAGTTCAAAAGAGGACAAATTTTATCCTATGTGTAACAAAGATAACAGTGTTTTGTTTCAACCAACTAGTCAATGTGACTCTTTATACTCAACTGGTTGGTTGAAACAAAATCTTGGTCTGGATTTGTACTTTCTGAATTGGAACCTTCCACCTCTGCCTGTATCTGTAGCTCATCATCAATTTTCCCTTACGAAACATCCTGAATGGACCTCTACTGACCCACTACCAGCACCTTCCCTCCACACCCAGACTGGTCCAGTTCAGCCTGGACCAGAATAACTACTTGATGGTGCACCATTACTGATGGAACTCCAAAGAGAAAAGCAATATATGATGCCAAATACAAGGTGAAACTATTTAAAATGTCACATACTAATTTATATAGTATTAAACATGAACAATTTTAGCAGAATAAAACTCCTTAATGTATAGCAATATCACAGAATGACGTTGATATAGTACACATCATTTGCACAAAGAACCAGTGCATTATTTATGCACTGAAAATGCTTTAAAATACCACATGCCATATTCATGTAAATTTATAGATGAACATTTTCTCAAGCATATATTTCAAATAATTTCATCGTGTGAACCTTTTAAGCCATATTTTACTTACATTTCTAAAATAAATAGCATTTTGGCACTTTATAACTTTAAGATTAGCATTACAAGATTATTATTCGTTCCTTCAGAAGCAACTTCTCTTTACCAATGGGAAATAAGTTCAGATTCAAATAACCAATAATCAATAGAGCTGGGGCCTGCATCACGAAGCAGGATTTCTTGCGGAGTCAGATAACTTGTCGGATTTAAGGTAGTCTGGGTTAAATGCAAGTGAACAGAGATAAAGTCCTTTTAAACTGCGGTAGCTTAAACCCAACAAGTTATCCGGCATGAAGTCCTGCTTTGTGATACAGGCCCCTGCACTCCTGCCGTCGGCTGCGTCGATATTTTCCAACCCAGATCATTTTAAGTGATCCATCTTGAAAAGGTGGTTTCAACTTTTTGTCTTAGTTAAGTTACACAATGGTTGTTGTTGTTTCAGTGTTTAAAGTTTCATTGTAGATCCAACTCTGCTTGAATTCTTTAGTCTGATGCAGACTTTCAAACACAATTCTGTATTCTTCAGGAAACACATATCCTGTCTGTATGTCTTCTAGCAAATCCAGGTCAGTCAGCACCTTTGACCCATTTTCTGGACTCCATGCTCTATTAAAACAATTGCAAAAATAGGATCAAAGGAATGACATTTTGCTGTATATGAAGCAAATCTCTTTATTTACTAGTTTCTCCTTAATGTTGACAGTTACCTGTATTCGCTGAGATAATACTGTAAGCAAAATGTTTACAGCTAACACATTTTATAATATAACTATTTTAATAAAAGATTTAATAACAGATTTATGGTTTCTTGTTCTACTTATTCACATTAATGAACTAAAATACTCCTTAGTGAACATTAATTGTGGAATATCTTCAATATATTTAATTTGGTATCAGATTTGTCTACTTACATCAGATGGTCAATCAGTTGGGTTTTCTTCTTAGTCATGCACTGCTTCACCATCATGATTAAGGCCGCTCCATTGGCATGGGTGAGGTCACTGGAGAAAAGGTTTGGGTGAGGGGTCAAGCTAACCAAGCACAGGTGGTCAACTGGAAACTGTTGGAAGGGGATGATAAGTACAGACAATGACACACTGAATCCTCAAGATTATTATGACATAAACAACATTATTCTGCAGCACAAACCCTAATGGCTTTCAACGCACTGTGAAATTAACTTGAACAAAAGTAATGTATATGTATTTTGTATGAGTGCTTAATGTGCTTCTGTAGGAGTGATATATAAGTAACATACTAAACTGTATGTGATTTATGTCTGAAATCCAGTACTATTAAAAATGTGAAAACCATGATCTTACTTGTGTATTTTTGACAGGGGTACCATGTCCCTTGGAAGATATCACAAAAGAACTCATTGGCACCTAAACAGTTAAAAAAAAATCAAGATTTCATCAGTTCATATTATTATTTCAGCATTAACAAGGGTAAGACATATAATCTAATTTGCAATTATTACATATTGAACATCAATTTATAGCAAATCCTTCACAGATATAAAGGCATTAGTATCAGTTTGGATGATGTTTTATCCTATGTGTAACAAAGGTAACAGTGTGTTTTATTCCTGTCCTCACCTTTTGTATCAGCTTGATATCACAAGCAATCTGCCATAATACACTCAATGACTGGTATTTTTTAAGATTTCCTGGTTGAGCCACAAGTTTCTATAAGAGAACAGACATCACTTGTTAGCATTTGTTATAATTTAACTTTGTAAGTAAGGTGCAAGCAAATCAGAAAACTACTCTGGGTTGTCAAAGCTGATCTGGCTAAGGATTCAAGTTACAGATAAATTCTGAAAATTCCACCAATGAATGAGAAAAAAAAGTCTCTAAAATGTAACTTACAATCCCAGAAACCATGGAAAGTGACACAGCAATCACCCTCCCACCCACCGCAAACTGCGTGCTTACCAAATACGCCTTTTCACTCATGAACATGACTAACTGCACTCGGCCATAACGGAATACAGAAGTGCGCTCAAAGATGGCGTATATGAGCTTCCATAAAATGCTTCTCTCGTTTCTCTGGGGGAATATTCCAAGCACCTTCACAGGAACATCTGGATACAGATTGAAGCAGTTAATTTAAAAAGGATACAGAAATAACAGAAAGTGGGATTCATGCTTTCTCAAAAGACAATTGAATGAAGTTATTATTAAATTACAAAATCTTTATGCTATACCACTAGATAAAGGAAGGGCTAGTTGTTTAGTAATGGGCAGAAACACATAGTACATTACTGCTTGATGGGTATGTGTGTGTGTG